TTGAAGCCAGATAAGGTGGATCCCTCCCAAGAGTAACTTGTGCAGAACAGGGTTGGATTTTTCATCCTGTGACCCTACCAGGACTGCACTAAAGGCATCCAAGGCCAGGGCAATATTACAGAAAGGAGTAGACTTTAAAAAAAAGCATCCCTCTGGATCCCAAGCTAGCAGCTTCTCACAGTTAAGTGCCCTTGAAGTGAGGAAGCCTTAAAAAGCCTTGTCCTCCTCTCAGGTCTGTTTTGAGCCCAGGCCCAGCCTCAGCAGAGGCTGAGTGTGAACAGGTGTCTGTGCTGAGTGTCAGATATGGGCTGGACAATTTTCCCAGTGCTGAAAAACACTTTTTTTTTTTTTTTATATATATAATTTATTTTTTGGAAACAAAAAAACTGACTTGTCTCTTTGAGGCAGAAAAAAATCCAATGACTTTATTAACTTTTTATAACTGTACCAGAATAGTCTCGCCACAAAGCCTGTTCCTCCAATGACACCTACTATTTCTGCAGGTTTTTTTCTGGAGGAGAAAATATCCCATTTCCTTTCTGTTCCTTATTTTCTCAAATATTTGCCACTCTTCTTTGCTTTCTCCAGACTCCAGCACATATTTGTGTGATGGCAAAACTGGGCTGAACCCAGAAACTGCCCAATTTTTCTATAAAACTCTCCAGATCACCTCCCAAAATAGGATGTGCCTCATTGCAACACCTGTTTTGTTATCCACTCACTTTTTGTCTGCAGGACATTTACATCTCCTGATACTCTTCCCATCCACTTTCTCCTTCCTTCCCCATCACTCATTGCATTTCCTTCTGTTGACTCTGGGACCATCCCTTCAATTTAACATAATAATTCCAAAGTTTCACCTTAACTTCATGAAGGGTTTTAATCTTCTAATTTGATACCCTTGACCCTCTCCAAAGGGTTTAATTTACCTCACCCAGCTTCAGATGCCCACCTGGAGGCATCACACTGCTCCTGATGCAGCAGCAAACAGCTTTTGGAGCAGCTGGTTTGTCTAGAGGTGGTGCTCCTGCAGAGCCCTTGGCTTTTACTTGTTTTACCTTTCCCCAAGTCAAGATACACCCAGTCATCCTCTCAAAACAGAAATAAAACTCCCTTAACATGATTAATTCTAGTGAAATCCACATTCGTTGTTTGTTATTACCATATCATCTGCTAGGTGCTTATAAATTGATTATTTGGTAATTTTTACCAGTGTCCTCTGGTATTTTACTGGAATAAAGCTGGTGGGTCTCTGTTTCCTCACACCCTCATTCCCCTCCTCACAGCCAGACACAGCACTTACCCTTCTCCTGTGATAACACTGAGGAGCCAGACTTTATCCTGCCCATTTCACAGGGCAGGGTAAAGTCTTTTTTGCTTAGGTTTCTTCAGGCCCTTGAATCCATCCTTGAGTCCTCTCATCTTTTAACTTGTTCTTGTCTTATATTATCACTGCTCATGTTGTTTCAGGTTATTTTCACTTGCTAGTCCTTCTTGGAAGGATGGGGAAATGAAGTTCTGTTCTGTGGCTTCCATTATTTGGTTTTCCATTCTATTGTAGAGTAGAATATTGTTCTTAGAATTCATAGATTTCCTCCAGCCTTCACTTTTGCCTCATACTTTCATAAATAGCCTGGGTTAGTTTTTACATTCCTTATCACTTGAAATCACTTTGGAGTTTCTGATTTTATGCTTAAGTACATGGCCTAATATTTTAATTAATTTTTCTTTTTTTTTCTTTAGTGATTCCTTTATTAAATTCTACTTCTTGCATAAGTGCTTACTTGACTTGCCTTTTCTTTTGCTGGGTGTTTTTCAAGTGTTAGAATGGTTTGGGTTGGAAGGGACCTTGAAGATTATCTTGTTCCAGCCCCTGCCATGGGCAGGGACACCTTCCACTGTCCCAGGTTGCTCCAAGCCCCATCCAGCCTGGCCCTGGACACTTCCAGGGATCCAGGGACAGCCACAGCTTCTCTGGGCAACCTGTGCCAGGGCCTGCCCACCCTCACAGGGAAGAATTTCTTCCTAATATCTGATCTAAACCTGTCCTCTGGCAGTGAAGTCATTCCTCCTTATCCTATCATTCCATGCCGTGGTCCAAAGTCCTTCTCCAGCTCTCTTGCAGCCCCTTTAGATACTGAAAAGTGCTCTAAAGCCTTCTCAGAGAGAGAAAAACCTAAGGGGGAGGGGCAAAAAAAGCACTGAAATTTAATAATTAATAGGTTAGAATTGAATAACCAAAGCTCCTGGACTCCACTTGTCAACTTGAGATACAGACAAACTTCAAGATTTTTTGCAAGGGTTCAGAAAGTACAAGTATTTTGAAGTGCAAATGGTGCTTTAGAGAAAGCCAAGTTGTGTTTTCACAGGAGTGTGGAGCATGAGCAGCCACTGGAGCATATCTGCCTCTTCCTGCAGGGAGAGGGGAAATCAAGGCGTTCTGTTTATTGCTCTCTTGTAGCCTGAGTGTTTTCACACATGGGAGGCACTCTGCTCTCTTGTAAAACTATCAGCACCTGGAAATAAGGGCCTCAGACAACTTTGTGCTGCTGATAAAGCAGCTGGGAGAAATCACCATTAATTGGGCTTGAAGAAAGTGGAGGAGGCAGCACTGGCTCTGAGGGAGCTTTTAAGAAACTGTCCCCTTTGGAAAGACCCTGAAACATCACAGATAACTTGCAGCTTATTCACAGACAGTGAAATTTTGGTTAAGAAATACCCATCTTGTTTAAATGTCTTTTTTTTTTTTTTCCCTTTGTTTTCTCCAGCTGTTGTGCTGTACCTGGGTCCAAGGCACCTCCCAGGGGAAAAATTATCATCCAGTAATTCTTGAAAATGCCTTTTTAGCAGCAGCCTAGGAAATCTGAGAAAATGTAAAAAAAAATCCTGAAGAAATCTCTGTTAAAATGTGTACTTGTTTAATAGATGCTTCCACACACACTGTGTCCAACTGGCTTATATAAAAGTATCAACTTTAATATTTGATTTAGAATTTAATATAAAGGCAACTGACTGCGAAACACAATCAGATTTACCAGCTCAGGGGAATGAACCTTTTTATGAAACTAACAATTGCACATACAAAATCAGCTGAAAATGAGTTAGTGAGATGAAACTTCCACCTCCCTGGCTGAAGTTGTGATTAAACCATGATTAAAGTCAGTGAGCTAAGTGAACAGCTATCAACCCAAAATTCAATTCACCCCTGAAAAAAGAAAAAAAAAAAAAAGAAGAGGAACTATTTTTGTTATTTCAGTGATGTGCTGACTGAGTTGAGGAGGGACAAGGCTCCAGCCTAAACTGCCTGACACTAATGACCTCCCCAGAACAGGGGATTCCCAAGCCCAGGAACAACACAATTCCCTCCTGTGTTGTAAACTGGACCTATTTGGGAAGCAGGCCAGCTCCCATGATTTTCTTTTCTCATAACATTTACTGCTGTTTCTAAGGCCATCCCTCAGAGTCATATGACAGGGTAAGATTTGCAGCCTCTCTGGTTTTGTAACTAAACACAAGCTCCTACCCTGCAAAATCAGGGAGGGAAATTTCACCGTGTGACCCCAGTGCTCCCTAAAGATGGGCTCAAGTGTATTGCAAAGAGAGAAAACAAAACCTGCCCCGTGGGGAGGAGGCTATAGAGGGGGGTGGCAGCAGTGTAACACAGCAGAGCAAATAAAAGAGATTTGAGGCTGCAGTTTGAGAACCCAAAATCCCACCACGACTACCCCAGCCCAGCACTCTAAATCCTGTTGGGATCCTCTCCAGCCTGGTACTTCAAACCCCACCAGGACCCTGCACTCCAAACCCTGCTGCGACCTTCCAAACCCAGCACCCCCATCCCTGCTGGAACCCCTCAACCTGGCACCCCAGTCTTGACTGGTGTCTACCAACCCTCCCCAGTCAAGCATCCCAAACTTTGCAAGGACCTCTCCAGCCAGGGCAACCCAAACCCTGCAGGGACCTCCACATCCTGGCACCTGAAACACTTCTGGGACTCCCTCAGTCCAGCACATCCTATCCCAACAGGACCCCTATCCACCCTCCCCAGCCCCCCTATCCCACCAGGACTCCCCCAACCCAGCTCTCCAAACCTAAGCATGATTTCCCCAATCCAGCACCCCAATTCCCTCCAGGACCCCACATCCTCATCTCCATAATCATCTCCGCCTCTATCTCTGTCCTCATCCACATACATAACTCCTGTCCCCATCATTGTCTCTGCCTGCATCTCCATCCTGATTTCACTCTTCATCTCCATCTCCTTCCCCATCTTCATTCCCACCTGTTTCCATCTTTGTCCTCGTTGCATCCTCACCTCCCACCCCTTCCACATCCACATCTCCGTCTTAATTTCCATCCTCATCTCCATAACTCTGTCTGCCTATTCCCATTGCATCCCCATCTCCGACCTCTTCCACACCCTGTCTCTGTCCCCATCCCTATTACCACACTCGTCCCCATGTCCAACTCCAACTCCATTTCCATCCCTGTCCCCATCTCCATTCCCATGGTATCTCCATCTCAATATGCGTCCACTGCGTCCCCATTTCCAACCCTTTCCACATCTTTGTGGAACCCTTTCCATCTCTTTGTCCCTGTTCCTGTCCTCATCCCCAACTCAACTCCATCCCCATCTTTATCCCCATCCCTCTGTCTCTGTCCCCTTTGTATCCCCATCTCTGTCCTCGTTCCCCTGTCCCTGTTCCCCTCTCCGTTTCCTCTGCCGTGCCCGTCCCCCTCCTCCCGCCCCGCCCCGGGCGCTGCTGCCGGCGGGGCGGGCCCGGGGCGGGGGGGGGCCGGGGGC